CCCCCCCCCCCCCCCCATATTCCATAATCGTTGGTTGGTTCAGGATTGAAGAGGAATGGCAAAAGCTGCAGACTGAGATGGGTGAATTACCTCAGACCTGACCTTAAGAGGGGCCAGATCACTCCTCGTGAAGAGACCATAATCCTTGAGTTACATTCCAAGTGGGGCAACAGGTAAAAACAAAAAACACACAAATCAATGTCCTACTTGTTTTTTTTTCAGACAAGTTATCGGGTTTTTTTTTCTTTTGTCCGTTTTCAGATGGTCGACCATAGCACGTAGTTTGCCAGGACGAACGGATAACGAGATCAAGAATTACTGGCGAACCCGCTTCAAGAAGAAGAAGAAATCTCCTCCTAACAACGTCGAAAAGGCGAAGAAGAACCGTCTCTTGAAGAGGCAACAGTTTCAACAGCAGATGCAGCAGCAACAGCAACAACAACAACAACTGTTTCAGTTTAACCAACTGGACATGAAAAAGATCATTTCTTTACTCCAAGACAACAACAGCGGCGACAGCAGCAGCAACTGTGCGGTCTATGTTCCTCAGATGGCACCGACAACTGCAATAACATCAGCTTATAGCCTGAATACAACAGAGGAGCAACTAGAAGGGCATTGCAATCGACCCAACAATGGCTATTGGCCTGATGAGGCTCCTGTAATCGAAGACAACGGGCTCTGGTGGGATGGATCATGGAACTTATTGGATGGCAACTTTGGAATGTCTCCCGCCACGGAGACTTGTGACGCAAGGAAGGCGTATTTCCATAACCTTGTCACTCCCTTTTTGTTAGGTTGATCGTTAAGTGAGACCGAGAATTCTGGGTCTGGCTTTTCAATTTTTTTTTTCCCCGGCTTTTGGTTGCTAGTAGTGACAACATTAAGTAACTTTCTATAATCTATTGAGGGCTCGATATAGATTCTTGAGGCGTCATGCAAGAGCTGCGAAATCCGGTGCCCTTTGTAATACAATATGAACTCGTGATTTGCTTCAAGAAATCAATAAAAATCACACTTTCTCGCAATCTCTTCCCTCGTAAATCCAAAAGCAATGCAACGAAGCTCTGAAAACGTTAGGGTTCGATGCAGTAAAATCGCCGAATCTTCTGTCAAAATGCTCTTGAACAGCAACGATGGCTTCTTTATCTCCATTTCTCTCTTGGGTCAATCAAAGATCGTGGCTTTTTTCCTGATTCATGTTTGTTTTTTATCAAATACAGTGGGGAGCTGACAATTTCTAAGCAAACGAAGACGGAATCAGTGCCTTACATGACAAAAAAAGTAATTTGCTTTAGCAGTGAAAATGAACCCCAATGATCGATTTAGTGGCAAAATTTAAATTACTGTGAGGCTCTTTGTTATTAACAGTTACTTTTAATATGTGAGGCTCTGTGTTCCTTCTGTGCTCTGCTCTGTTCGACGAAACAATGAACGGTACCTTTTAACGGAACTGCTTATGGGCCTAGAAGTGGGCTTTTATTGGGCCAACGATTGTGATTTGTTTCAACTGCTTGATGATTTATAGATTTTTTATTTATTGAAGATCTTTTAAAACCATATATATATATATATATATATATATATATATTGTTACGATGGAAACCCCTATCCTACAATCCTTCGGATCGGACACTGGACACCGCAACGCCTCTCAGCCCATGGACCGGACGAGAATGACATCAGAACAGCATCGTGAACCTGAGAAAATCCACCGCCTGCGCAGTAGCCGGCAAACTACACAGAGCAGGTAAACTTGGTAGAGAAAGTTGTCACTAACCACTAGACTGGGGGACTTCCCTATATAATTTCGAACCCATATAATTTTTCTATCATTTTTCTAATTTAAATTTTATTTTCATTAATATTTATAAAATAATAGTTCTTTTTTATTTGAATTTTAAATTATTCTTATATTATTTTCAGATTAATAAATTCAGTTGAAAATTCATAGAAACTAAATCTTAGATTTTATTTAAATATATATGTATATATTATTTAACTACATATTATTTGGTTTTTCAATTGGCTTTAACATTTTATATATTGTTAAAAATACTATACATATTTTGATTTTTATATAAAACTCGGTTTGGTTAGACTGTTTGATTTTCATTTAAAAAGAATATCTTTTATAGAGAAAACTCGTTTTTATTAATTTTTAATTATTTTTATACTTGTTCTTAATTCAATTGTATTTCCAATAGACAATTTATATATCAGAATAATTTTGAATACGACAAAATTTGATTTAATTTTGTATAGTCGAATAGATAGATATAGCTGTTGTTTTTGTTTTGTTTCAACCTAAACTATATTTTATGTATTGGTACAAAATTGTTGAATATATTTGCTCCATCTTTTGAATATATTTTTATTGAGAGAAAAAAATAATAAGGGAAGTTGACATTTCGTGTTTAAACAAACAACTGAAATTTAGATATCCGTAGGCCATGAAGAAAGTATATATTATAACTTAATTAGTAGTTGAATTGGACAAATGCAATCCACTTGTTGTGGTTAGCCATGATGCCACGTCATCAATTCTTATAAAATGGAAACTTATTTTGCTATAATAATCTCCATCCAAACTTAATTTATTTGTAATTCCCTCAGAGGTCCTCAGTTTTTTTATAATCACCGCATATATAGTATATAAGTTTAAATTTAAAGATAAAATGATTATAACAATTCTTGAAAAGCATAAAATTTATTTTCTTAAATTGAATCTATTCTTAATAATCTTAATTTAATATATTTAAACACATAATATTACTTATAAACACCTCTGTTTCGTATAAAAAAATTATAAGTTTATTTAATTAATGCTATTTTAGATTTTTTATTTTTAATATTATTCTGATTCTGCTTTTTTTGTCGTAATTTATTTTATAGAACATGTTTTTCATGAACTAGTTGTCCATGCAGTTATTCTCCTTAAACAAAAAAAAAGATTGAATGGTGATGGATATATATATATATATATGAGCCAACCATTAGTGGCCAAATTATAGAATAAATATATTTGGTAATATATGTAAGTATCCTGAAGCTTAGGGGGTTAAGTGCAATTGTCCCAAACATTTAACATGGTGACCGGTAACGGAATTACGTAAACTATTTTCGATTCTTCGATTATATTTTCAAAAGTCATAAATTCACAATATACACAATTACATACAAATATATTCTATATGTATATATATTACTAATAATAATTCGGTAGATATAATTTCATCGACTTGATTTTAAATATATAAAAAACTTCAATCCGATTATTCACGACAATTTTAATATATATTTTTCTGTCAATATTAGCGTATATTCTTATATATAAATCATTTTTTATTTTTTTCTGACACAAATGAAATGTATCACACACATATACACAATATATATATATACAGGGCGTACACTTTTTTTCCACGTATCCACGTATACACTTTATCTATACGTACACGTACATATACAATCACCTTTGATATATGTACCTAACTGTACATGATGACATCATATCCACACATACGCAATATATATATATATATATATAGTCCATAATCTAACAAGAAAATATTCTTGATGCTCCCAAGAAATACACGATAATCCACCTTTGAAGATATGTTCCTTAAAATGCACTGTATTACTCCATTATATATATATATATATATAGCTGAGTTAATGACGCAAGATTTATAAACAAATGAAATATTCTTATGTTAGCCTATTCACTTTCCTCCATTTTCTCTAATAGTAGGCTCCAAAATATCTGCTAATCATTTATAAATTATGTCGTGGATCCCAAAAAAGTCAATAAATTTTTTTCCACTTTAAGCGTCTAATTATTGCGGAATCATAAATAACATGGAATCACTAAGGGTAAATAATTTGTCCAGCTCATTTTAGGCCACTCGTTGACTCATTAAATTATTCGATTAAATTATTTAATCAGATAATTAAATTAATGATTGTTGAAACTTCAGGCTTTGGGTTTTGATTAGTGCAAATTGTTACAGTTTTCTATTTGTTTGTGATCTAATTAATCGATTGGGTTTTAAATAGCCGATCCATGGAATTTAATAGAATTATAATAACTATTTGGGTTAAATTAAATAATCAAGGGTTGGGTTTGATAGTCTGTTTAATCATTAACATTAATTTATCAGCTTATGACTAAACCACGGATTTATAATCAATCTGTTTGAGTTAATCCATAGATTATATGTATACATATGTGATGATTTTTTTTCTTTTCTAATTCTATTATATCATTAGATTCTTTTCAATGAGAAATAATACCAGAATTCTTATGTTTATAACTGTGTAAATATTGAATTTCGGGATATAAAAAGGCAATAAAGTTTTTGTTCCTATATATATTTGTTCTCGATGGTTTTAAGTAGGAATGTAAAACGGCACAGCCCGGCCTAGCCCGACCCGACTCGTCCCGATCCGAGAAAATTTTAGCCCAACCCAGTCTAGTCCGTTTTTTAACGAGCCAAAAATAGACCAACCCATCCCATATCGCCTTAGCCCGCGAGCTTTTAAAATATCTTAAATATAATAAAAAAGTAAAATTTTAAACAAAATAAATTAAATATGTAATAAAAATATAATTTATATATAAAAATATTTTAAAATATATAAAAAAAAATTAAAAAAAATTTGGCCAGCGAGCTAGGCCCGTGATGAGCCGGCTCGTTTACCCCGGTTTTTTTCTGTGCTCAATTATTCTCACCCCACCTCGGAGGAATATAGGCTGGG